GACAGAATCTGCTCGTACGATCGAATCGAGATTACGATATCACGTCTCGTTCAATACGTACACTGTGTCAAAAATCGTTTCGACGAGATCATCGATTCGTCTTTCGTTAATATTTTACTTTGATATTAGACACGGTTAATGAGAGGGTTTCAATCATTCTACATGTACACTAGATCAAAATTACAGCTAACAGTGATCGACGGAAAAAAAAAGGGGATCTAGGTTTTTATTAATGCAAACGGGGTTCTATGAAAAAAGTCTTTTATTAAACGGTCTCTTATATAAAATTCTAGCGACACTCTTACGTCGAATGGAAATACAATTTTGGGAGGGGTGGTAGCATACGTAGACGATCTATATACTCATGCATGGGCTGAATTATGCGAAGGAGTAACTGATTGCTTCTAGTCAATTTACCGAGAGTTCCTTCATCGCGATCAAACTTGAAGATAGATGCACGCTCTCTTCATCCAGGAACACTTTCCCTAGTCCTGGCTTCCTCCCTCGGCGTAGCACAGTCGAGTGTTTGCCTCGCTTCTGTCCTCCGCATCCCGAGATCTGTAGATTTTATTCAAGACACGTTAGCGAGCTCCGTGTAAACTGCTTTTTAAAATTATTTCGCCAACTGATTTTTAATCAAGCTGGAATGCATTTTTAATCGACTTCTCATTAAAAATCCGAGCAACAGTTAAAATAAAACGGAGAACGTTTAGCTCGTCCTATCGAACGATCGATAATTGTCAATCAGCGGATTGAATATCGTTTTTTAAATGAAAATCGTATCACCTTCTGCGTTTGCAGCGATCATTCCTTGTTCTCACGATCACGAAAACTTGGAATCCTCGAGTCACCGTGGAACGGAACGTAAAAGGGGTTCTCGACGAAAGACGTGGCGCGTTTCGGGGTTGAAACTCGGCAATGCGAATCTTGGAATCGGTCTCGCACGATGCAACGATGCCTCTTTCGAATCTCGTGGAGGGGATCCGTGGTGGCTCGAGCTACGTGGTCGCCCCGTTCATTCTTAATTATAGAAACCAGCTTAATCGCTTAATCACTTAGTTCTATACATTAGATCTCTTCGTTCTATAATAAAATAAACTTCTCAGAAGTTTCGATGTTTCATCGAATTAATTAAATAGCATTTGTACCATCGAGGGTAAAAGAATTGTAGGAAAAAAGGGGTATCGATGCATATTGTAACGAGTTTAAAGCGTTTCACTGTTCGAACGTGACAGCATCTTCCTGTCAGTATTCAGATTCATCTCGTATAGAATCTTCTCTGAAACAGACACGACAGATGGGCGTGGATCGAAAGCCAACAGCTGTCCATAAAATGTAACGTTCGTTTGTCAAGAGAGCGAGTCATAAATATTAAATCTCATATAAACGTCTAATTAATTACGAATGGAATCGATACGTTTAATCGTGGGGGGTCGACGAGCTTCCCTTCGCCAAATCATTTTCTCCAGAATCTGCATAAAATTCGATCGTCGGTCGGACGAGTCGTAATGAATAATTGCGGGGGTGGTCCGTTCTCAACGATGGACGCCCTTCGAGCCTGGTTTTACGAGTGCCCAACGAACGACGGCCCTGGTCCGTACCGAGTCCTTATTTGGATTGGGGGGCCGTCGGCCCGTGGCGTCGCGACGCACGGCGTCTCTCCCTCTCGTCGTGACGGCTAGGGCGGCTAAGGACTAGGCGGCGACGGCGGCGGGCCGAGACGAGCGTAAATGCACGATAGATTTCCATCTAAGGGGCGGACCGCTATTTTCGGCTGCGAACCGATATGGATAAAGGGACCCCACAGAGCCGGCACTGTGCCACTCGCCGCTCTCGGTCTCTCGTACGACACACGCCCTGACCAGCGATCATTGCCGATACTCTTCTCTCGTCAGCCAACGGTACAGTGAAAAATATTCAAGTTAATTTAATCGAGCTTTCTCTGCTTGTGTCTTAACCCCGTGCAATAATCATCGGCTGGACCACTGCTCACCGGTCCCTCGTCCGACTGGAGAACAGTCGACGGTCTTCGAGTAGTACACGTGCAGTTTATTCACTCGAGTGATTCGTGTCAATTTTATTTGAGACCGGAACCAGTCGGTCCTCCAGCCGTTTGTGAAGTGACCAATTTAGTGGTTCCTCTGCTTGTGCGCTTAACGATTAATTATTCTTCTCTAGTTTTATGCTAAGATCTGTTTCTCTCGACGATCAATCGCTGAACCAATTCTAACGATTCTTAACGATTACGTAATTGCGATCCCTTAATTTAGGTTTAACGATCCGTAAGCGCGTTCACGTTGAATCGTTCGGTTTTATATTTTTTCTAACACGTGTAACGATGAATCGTAGATGATTCTAATGCAAACGATCTGTACGTTCGTAGAAAGTACACCGTAAAAAGCCAAGATGTGTGACGATGATGTAGCGGCACTAGTCGTGGACAATGGATCCGGTATGTGCAAGGCGGGATTCGCTGGAGACGATGCACCCCGCGCCGTCTTCCCCAGCATCGTCGGCCGCCCACGTCATCAGGTTCGTCTGTTCTCTGATTAAACCGTAGATCTTACTCATTCGTAAAAAGATCGAGTACCACTCTATCTGTTATTAAGTATTGCATTTCTTGAAGATCCGCGTCGATTTATAATTGAACTATGAAATTTGAATCGTTACAGGGTGTGATGGTCGGTATGGGTCAAAAGGACAGCTACGTGGGAGACGAGGCCCAGAGTAAAAGAGGTATTCTCACTCTGAAATACCCTATAGAACACGGTATCATCACTAATTGGGACGACATGGAGAAGATATGGCATCATACCTTCTACAACGAACTCCGCGTCGCCCCCGAAGAACATCCGGTCCTCCTCACCGAGGCTCCCTTGAACCCGAAAGCCAACCGTGAAAAGATGACGCAGATCATGTTCGAAACGTTCAACAGCCCGGCCATGTACGTCGCCATCCAAGCCGTGCTGTCCCTGTACGCCTCCGGTCGTACCACCGGTATCGTCCTGGATTCCGGAGACGGTGTCTCTCACACCGTCCCCATCTATGAAGGTTACGCCCTTCCTCATGCCATCCTCCGTCTGGACTTGGCCGGTCGCGATCTCACCGATTATCTCATGAAGATCCTCACCGAGAGAGGCTACAGCTTCACCACCACGGCTGAGCGAGAAATCGTCCGCGACATCAAGGAGAAGCTATGCTACGTCGCCCTGGACTTCGAGCAGGAAATGGCCACCGCGGCTGCCAGTACTTCCCTGGAGAAGAGCTACGAGTTGCCCGACGGTCAGGTGATCACCATTGGTAACGAAAGGTTCCGTTGCCCAGAGGCGCTCTTCCAGCCTTCCTTCCTGGGTATGGAATCCTGCGGTATCCACGAGACCGTGTACAACTCGATCATGAAGTGCGACGTCGACATCCGTAAGGACCTGTACGCCAACAACGTACTCTCCGGTGGTACCACCATGTACCCGGGTATCGCCGATCGTATGCAGAAGGAGATCACCGCGTTGGCACCGTCGACCATCAAGATCAAGATCATCGCTCCCCCCGAGAGGAAGTACTCCGTATGGATCGGTGGATCGATCCTGGCTTCCCTGTCCACCTTCCAACAGATGTGGATCTCCAAGCAGGAGTACGACGAGTCCGGCCCCGGCATCGTCCACCGCAAGTGCTTCTAAGGTGGTCACGCAGCCTGCCGTGGGGCTTCACCAAATTCACCTGCCTTCTTTTCTTTTGTTTCGATTCACGGTCACGATCGCAATATCTGTTCGGGGTGGGAATGACAGGGAAGGAAGTAGAACCGGGGAGGGGGATAGGGTCGGGGGGAAGCAAGATTCTGGGAAGGAAGAAATTACTCAAGTGCCTTTATTCACATTTATCAGACTGTACTTTGTAGTTTGTACGAAACGTGACTGCTTGTTAATTAATTTATTGATAATGCCACTGGTCATTGGAACGAGCCCTTCTCGATCTTGTAAACGCGTAGACACGCGCAGAGTCGCGGAAAGTCGTTACGAAGATCGCAAGCGTACGTAATGAATTTCGCATTTGAGATCACCGATGGACGAGACGGTAAATAAGGAACGGAGAACCAGGCGCATCGACGTCGGCTCATATTGCTGCCTGGCGTATTCTTCTTATAATACATCATATAATTAATGCTAATAAAACTGTATTATATAATAAACGTTGAATTACGTGGACACCTTAACGTTTGGCGGAAAATCAACGCCGATGTCATAACGAATTGAAACAAATCGCCGGTGCATGCTCACAGACGTTCACGATTTATAGTGTTTAGGATTCTGATGACATTTAACTCGGGATACAGTGTGCTCTGGCATCGGGCCAGTCCTCGTCAAAATTTTACCCTATCTATATCTTCGTTCGATCGAATTATGTTACCCGGTAATTAGTATAGATCCAGTCTAGTTTTTATTCTCGCGATTTTTCGTACAAAGTTGAAACGACGATGAAATCGAGGAACGAGAGATCATCTGAGAGAGTGAAATTTATGAGACGGGCGATCTAGAAATAGATACACAGAAGCTACACCTGGTCGACTGTTTCGGGAAGACCGGGAGCCAATTAGAAGCTGGGAAATCTTCTAAAATAGGAGTAATTCAATTTATTCTTAGAACTTCAAGAAGATTTATCTGCCATTTACGATTCCTATGCGGCGTCGCAAAAGGCAGTTTCATTTATTTCCCTTCTATTCGGATATCCCGAGGAATAATAGTGATCGGACGGTTTCACAGCCGCGGCATTTCCCGAGCTCGAGAATGCTTAATTATAGGCTTTAAGGGAAGCCGTGACTCAAGACGAACGCGTTGAAACCGTGGTACAAATAAAGAAATAGCAAAAATAGAGTTGCCTGCCGGGGCTAACGACTGTCCGGGAGTGCATGGTCCCCGGGATCGCCGTCTAGCCTTACAAGGCCCCCGCGTACGTTTATTCCGACGCTGACTAAAATTAGAATCTCTGTACGAGACGATCCGCTATGCACGCCTGCGTGCACAACCATGGGGTAGACGCAACTTTAGATCGCTCGCGACCAACCAACCAACGATACTACACGCATAAGATATTAATTTTATGCGATATATTAATTCGCCAAGTAACCACGTGAATTTCACTGGAACCGTAAAACTTGTGTCATTTTCAGCTTGGCAATGATGATGCGGTGCACTTTCTTTCATGAGAAATTCACGAACCCTTTAACCCACTCCGTTTGAAAGCTCGCAAGCTCGTTAGAGGCCTCCTTACGTCACGATCTAAAAAATACCTCACGTACACACGTGTTGAACATGTATGAAAAATAATGTTTCATCGATACACGAGAACTGGAGAGAACTGTACCGAAAAAAATAGTAAAAAACCTTTTTTTTGAAACGGACAGCTCCTCGCGTAAGCTCTCGCGTACACGTTTTCATCCTGATAAAAAAAGAACACCGTGTACACCGACAGGATTTTCATGCTGCAGTTTCACGTTTCACATAACGGAATTAAATTCCGTTGTGCGTCGTACAACCTGATCTTCGTTCGTCGATTAATGAGAAATTGTTATCAGTGGAACAGAGAGAGAGAGAGCCTCGTACCATGTAACAAAATTATACAGCGTTCCACGAAGAGAGGAAGTTTCGTACCGTGTGTACAATGGTAACTGTTAGAGCGTTTCATGCAGGGTCTACGAACGCCGCAGGATCCCGGGAAACGAGGTTCTTGCGTGAACAATACCGCGCCGGTAACCGTAACTCCCGCAGATTTCGCGTGAATCGTTCTTCGAAAATTACCATTTTTCTCCAGTTACGATCAATCGGATTTGAACGACCCGCAGGATTTACCCGCTTTTTGTTTCGCCGCTTTTCATTTTCATGCGCAAGTAGAATATTTATCTGTGAAACAAAATCCGATACACTCTGTTTTAATTTCATAGTCGATCGCGTTCGAATTACTCGCAAATTGCTCCTTTTAAATTATAAAATTGCGACGTCATTTTCACCCGACGTGCAGTGTTCGGCTTTCGATTAAAAAAAAATACAATCGTAATACGAGATTCCTCCTGGTCTTCTATTTTAATTCAAATACGGAGGAGAGAACAGAGATAGACAGAAATGTCAGCATCTATTTCTAAGTCGCATTTTCCAGATACAATTGCATTAATCGAGCCCTCGAGTTATTCTCAGACTGCGATAGGAAAAGATCGCTCTCGAGGAAAAGCACACGTGGATCGAATGAAATTTCGCGAGTAAAGAGTAAACGATCGTTTAGTTGAAGAGTCATTTCTTGGTCTTGGGACGCTTCTTCTTTTTCTCGGCCGGTCGATACGGCCCCAACTTCCGGCGCACCATCACGCCTCGCCACCAAGCCTGAATCTTGATTGCGCTTTTTTCCATGCGCTCTCTCCGCTCCCTCGCCCTCTCAACCGCTTCCTTCTCCGCCAGATACGCGTCTATGAACTCCTGATTACAACGGTACTGCAACGTTGTTACGGTTTAAACGCACATCGATTCTGTGATTCAGCCGGAAAAAAAAAAGGCTGCCTAATTAAGGATGTATTGGCTATACAGTCGATCCGAAAAGTTTATGTATCTTAGAAATAATGCATTTCCGGTAATTAAAAATAGTGAATTTATCTTCTAATTTCGATATTTAATGAGTTACGTAT